CAATACTTGCAAGACAGTGAGTTTTCTCACCCTGAATCGCTAAAAAAAAGACAGACCATCCATTGTCTGGAAATAATTTTCTCCATTAAAAATTAAAACTAAAAATTCTTGGAAACCCATATACGAAAATATCCAAAATATCAAAATCGTCTGCAACTAGCATGTCTAACTCCAATTTTTTGTATAGCAATCGATGAAAAATCTTGTTCAATAGTTGTTATGTTACACGACACTCGTCATACTCGTCAACAACAAACCTTACCGGTCCTAACCTAACCTCACAATCTCAATAAAGACAGATTTTTATTTCTTAAGTCGAGGATTTTGATGACTGAACTTTGAGAAGAACTTAAGCAGATTTAATTGGCGGTGCATACGAAATTTAAAACTTAAGTTGAAAGGGAAACTAAGAATAGAAAAAAGTGAACGGTGCATACGGGCATAAGTATACTTTTATGTTCTGATACTGAATTATATCCAGTGCTTCAGACAAAATGAACAGTAGAGTTTTCTTCAAAACGCTGTCCCGAAAAGTTGTTAAACCAGAGATTCGCCACTTCGTAATGTCAGCGACGATATCACAAGAGAAAAAATTTTGTCGGCAAAATTTTCGAAAGGTATGAAAGTTTGTTGCTTGGCAATTTCGCGACTGACATATTTGACAAAATCACGAGCCGTCAGGCGAGTGATTGGATACATTCAGGCGGTCCCAGCGGCTTAGTTCAGCTACTCAGCGGGAACTTGATTCTCGAAACAGGGGAGCAGCGTTCTCATTGGAACGAAGGTTCTGTCTTTGTCGTCCGGCATAACACTGACAATGACAGAGCAATCGTTCTAATGAGAACGATGTTCCTTGGTATCGAGAATAGAGTCCCTGCTGAGTGGCTGAGCTTAGCTGGGACCGCCTGAATGTACCCATTTTATCAAAAATGTCATGAGCGAAATTGCCGAAAAGCAACAAACTTGAATAAAACCTTGAGAACAATTTTGCCTACACAATTTTTTCTCGAGTGGTATTCGTCATGACTATTTCACGTAAGATTTTGAAATAAATAGAATGCAAAATTATGAATAAAAACTTCAAATTAAAAATACCAGTTTGACAATGTCAAAAGATGGTCGCTGAAATACCATGTTGTTGGTATTGTCCAGGTAGCGTTATTGTCAGGTGAATACCGAATTTATTGCTGGTGTAATACACTCTATAGTACGGGATACGAGGCCTGTTTTATCAAATCATTTTACACCGTCTTGCATTGTTATCATCAGTTAGATAACATGATGCTGAAACGCACTTGTGCAGGGAAATGGATGGGAGTGGGGGATTTCGCTGAAAAAAATATTTCAGAAAATGTTGTCATAAACAAGGAAAATATATAATTATACACCGTCTTGCATTCAATTATTGAGTTAATTTGTACACAAATAAAATTGGATTAACACATGCAAGACGTTTTCATGGAGGTTTTGGAGTTGTAATATTAGATAGAAATTGTCAATTTTTCAGAGGGGTGAAATATCATTTTACACCACTTCATTGTTGATTTATATTGAAGCTTGAATGTAGAATAGCCACTGGATACTGATGCAAGACGTCCTGTGGAGGGATCACAGGCTGCAAGACGGGGGTCAATGTGTTTTCTTATGAAGGGGTGAGAAATCATTTTACACCGTCTTGCACTGGTACTAATGGGAAAAAAAGAACACATTGATAACATTTAAAAAAATACAAGATGTTCTAAATGGAAAGAAAGGACTGCAAGACGGTGATGAAGTTGATTAATTTTGACGGGGGTCAATCCATCAGGTACAAAGGTGAATACTACTCCAAATTACAAATTACGCACATTAATTTTAAATATTTTTGCTTTTTACCACGTAGAATAATTCTATTTTGCAAAATTCTCTTATTATTATGTATATTTGAATGTCTCTACGTACATCAAATGAGAAAAGGTTGAAATTTGTTCTTTTTCTGACGGCTTATAATCATTTAAGTTTTTTTGGGGTGGATATGCCATAACACATAACGGATTGTAACTATTAGCTAAATTTGAGAAATTTGATTTTAAAGCAGCAAAAAAATGACACAACAAATGATCTGTAAACAGAAATTATAATTCCTGTATTCAGCAGACTCCCCTGTTGAGCTGCTATGTCAAGTGTCCTTTTCGATCTATATGATTTAGAAAAGAATGAACAGTTAACGGTTCAGTAAATAACTCAACAGTTCAGTTAAAAAAGAAAACGGATTTATTAACTTTTTTCCCCGGAAAAACGTCTTGGAATGATGTTTACCATTTCTTAACATATATTCTTCCGGCGGACATAAGCATGAAGTGGTGTAAAATAATTTTTCACTGCCTCATGAGACAACGCATTGACATCCGTCTTGCAGCCCGTTATCTCGCCACAGGACGTCTTGTATCAGTATCCAATAGCTATTCTACATTCAAGCTTTAATCTAAATCAAAAATGGAGTGGTGTAAAATGATTTTTCACCCCCCTCAAAAATTGACAATTTCCATCTTATATTGCAGCCCCAAAACCCCCATGAAAACGTCTTGCATGTGTTAAGCCAATTTTGTTTGTGGACAAATTAACTCAATAAATGAATGCAAGATGATATATAATTATATATTTTCCTTGTTTATGACGACATTTTCTGAAACATTTTTTTCAACGAAATCCCCCACTCCCACCTATTTCCCTGCACAAGTGCGTTTCAGTACCATATTATCTAACTGATGATAACAATGCAAGACGGTGTAAAATGATTTGATAAAATAGGCCTCGTATCCCGTACTACTAGTGAAATAGTCACTAGAAAACTTTTCCGAATGAAATGTAAAGCCGAAAATTTAAATGTTCCATCATTACTGGCTCTTGAATCACTAGGAAATGTTTCCAAAGGAAATCAAAAGCCAGAAAAGATTCTCATTGTGCATATCAACGGCTAGAAGATTTTTCTGGGGAAAATTTTGATTACCGGCGCTTGAATCATTAGAAAACTTTTCTAGAAGAAATCGAAAGCCGGAAATTTAAAATTTTGATCATTACTGGGTCTTGAATTATTAGGAAATGTTCCCGAAGGATTACAAAAGCCAGGAAAGATTATCATTTTGATTACCACTGGCTAGAACATTTTTCTGCTGATAATTTTGATTATTACTGGCGCTTGAATGATAATGAGTTGGTAATACAAATAGGCTCTCTCAAGAATAAGGCGTCAAGTGCAAATGATGGTATTTGCGCCATTATTATCGAAGACAATCATTTAGCTCTGCTGGAGCCCCGGAAATGTATTGTATATTTAGTTCTTGTAACAGGTGTCTATCCCAGTGTTCTTAAAAACTCCATTATAACTCCTGTATTCAAGACTGGTGATAGACGGAAAGGTTGAGAATTATCGACCAATTGCGATCACTAGTACGGTTAATAAATTGTTGGAAAAGTGTATCAAAGTTCAATTATAAAAACATCTAGAAGATATAAATTTTCTATCAAACAGTCAATTTGGTTTTCGAACTAAGATGTGTACTGAGGATGCTATCCAACTTGTAACAGAGAAGATACTGAACAAATTTGACCAGGGTTACAAAACTGTTGGTATTTTTATTGACCTAGCAAGGGCTTTAGACACTGGCACATCACATTTTGCTGCAAATACTTAGTGAAATGTAAGAGGAACAGAGTTATCAGTTATCACTGTTCCAGTCATATCTAAGTAATTGAACTCAGCAAGTAAAGGTAAATAATTTCATTGGAGAAAAGGTAACTATAAAATGTGGTGTGCCGCAGGGTACAGTCCTCGGACCACTATTATTTGTGATATATAATATAAATATTCTTACAACAATTTTACCAGAAATAAATGGCTTGGTAATTTGTTATGCAGACGCTGCTGCGATTGCTGCAGCACGCACACTGGCAGAAAAATATGTTACAATGGTCGGATTGTGGCTGGATCAGCATCTTTTAACACTAAATAACACTAAAACCAACTTTATAAATTTTTCCATATACAGGGTGGGGCACGAAAAACTTCTCACCCATGTTTTCTCAGGTGATTTTTGTTCACTAGAAAACTTTTCCAGAAGAAATCAAAAGCCGAAAATTTGAAATTTTTTTCATTATTAACTCTTGAGTCACTAGGAAATGTTTCTAAAGCAAATCAAAAGCCGAGAAAGATTCTCATTCTGATTCTCAACGGCTAGAACATTTTTCTACTGAAAATTTTGAATATTACCACTAGGAAACTTCTCCAGTAGAAATCAAAAGCCGAAAATTTAAAATTTTGATCATTTCTGGCTCTTGAATCACTAGGAAATGTTTCCAATGGAAATCAAGAGCCGAGAAAGATTCCCATTTTGATCACCACCGGCTAGAACATTTTTTTTTCTGGTGAAAATTTTGATTATTACCGGCGCTTGAATCACTAGAAAATGGGTCCAAAGGAAATCAAAAGTTGGGAAGGATTCTCATTTTGGTTTGATTTATCAACGGCTAGAACATTTTCCTGCTGAAAGTTTGATTATTCAACTATTGGGTATTGGCCGATTACGTCCAGATATAGATAGGGTGTAGCTTGTAGATGCTTGTAGCCATGTTAGTCGATCCGAACCAATTATCATAGCTTTTCTTCTTCTGTATACTTCGTTAGCTTAGCCTATCTCATTTTCAATGTTCGAGTTCGCTGGAGATTTGCAGTTGATTTTCCTAATGGAAATGCTGGAAGTTGCTCCTTGTACTAAATCCTCATTGTTCTCTCCCAATATTAGATCACTGGGAGGTGAAATTACTGAAGTCACTTTTCATCTTCCTTTTATACCTATTTCTTGGTTATAGAGTTTTTATTTTAATTTCTCCATTGATTCCTAGAGAAAAAATAAAAATACATGCCACAAATGTATTATTTTGACTATGTCCAATTTGGTATTTATCAAATATTGAAATTTTAAAATAATTTCTTGATTGTTTTTGGTACGTCCATTTTTCAGGTATGGAGAAACTTTGATGCACCTTCTAAAAGGCAACATCGGGTCAGGAATATTCGCTATGGGCGATGGCATCCGAAACGCAGGCATCATCGTGGGACCAATTGTAGTTTTAATTTTGGGAATCATCTGTACGCATTGTCAACATATATTGGTGAGTAAACAAATTTTTAGTGACCTAAAGTGCAGATTGGCCTACTTATGCTTTCATACTCCCTTTTATAATATTTCATAGATTTTGACTTTATTATTTTTTTTTTTGAATGTTGTTGAACAAAACTAGTTTTCTCCAATTAAATACTAATTATTATATTGAATAAGAAAAAAATGCATTAATTTAACAACGAAGCAATTAAAAATGTTAGTTAAAACTTCGTAGACAAAAAAATGCGGCACGTATTTACTTGTTGATTAGTTATTGCATAATATAATAGCGGAAGCAATCCTTGAAGGTTATGTAAAATGCACAAATTAACAGACATAAATTAAGCCTCTATTATTTAAAATAGTGTGTTATTAGGCCACCAATCAAGCCCACATTCAAAGACGGCCTGACATTCTAGACGCCAAAACAGGATGTTCATAATTTAGGAGATATCCTAGATTCTTATTTTGTTTTATGCTGAGAATTGATAATTTAATTGTTCAAAATGTATCATCCTTTATTATGTAATTTTTTTAAAAATGATTCTCATACCTAATTAGCAAAATCTCTTAAGTGACTCGTGAAGGTTCATTATTTAATCGTGACCAAATTCCAAAAAAAGAAGTTGGGCAGCAAAATGAAAAGGAGACACTAGAAATGAAATCATCTTGTCAATGAGATTGAAGAAGGAATGAGAAGAATCCTGTCCAAAGGTAGAAGTTTTGCTATTACGTCACAACCACTATCAACCTGTGGCTAAAGTCACATCAGTAGAGATCCGTATTTCAGTGGAGTGATACTGCAGAAGTTATTTTTTGATTCTATCTACTGCACGAAAATTCATTTCAAAATTATTCATTGATTTATGTAGGCAATATACCTACCTACCCCAGGGGTAGTTCAAGTCCGATACTCTAGGGGTTTTTCCTTGCTCCAAATTTGTGGAAAGCAATACCTACCAAATATGTATTGGCAAATATGCCACGATTACCACCAGTTCAAACCCCATTTGTCTGTTTGCCTCTCAAATAAATAAAAAAAAGTTCTTGGCATAGTAAATATTTATATTTCGTTGCTATTTAAATTAAAAATTTATGAAATTCCACTGATGGTATTTCTCATTATTCAACCAATAATACGAGCTTTCTCGGGTTTCCTTATTATAATTATTTATGCATATTCATTATATATTTTTTTTGTATAATTATGTGTACACAATATCTACTATGGTATTCCAGTTCAGTTTCGAGCAAGGTTATCCTATATCCTCGCCATAGGTAAAGTGATAAATCTGATGGAAATGCATTTATCAATTGAACCCTATGCTGGAACAACGTTTCAAACGCCAAATATACCAAACAAGCGCGAAACTAGGGCGGTTGCACTTAAAACGTTATTGCACAAAAAGGACATACTGGGCCAATTGAAATGGCATCAACATTTCTTGAGTCTGTAGAACCTACACATCACCTTTTAGCATTGACCTATGTAGCCAAGTTCAATATCTTCAGAAATTTGTTTTTACCAATTAATATAAAAACTTGTTTTTAATTAGATACATATTTTTTCAGTCACATTCCAATGTTGCTATTAAACTCGTAAATTTTATTTAAGTGTAGTAACCACTTGATATTCCCGCTCAAACATTTAAATTAAAATTCGCGCCGGATGTCAGTGGCGCTCCCTGGCGGAGAGAGCGAGAAAGCGTTGGGGAAGGAAGGAAATATGGCGGAGGGTGGTGTAAGACGTGGTTGCACAGGACGAACCGTCCGCCATTGAATTGTATTTTTCGAAATAAAATTGTTCTAAACGGTTGTGCTGCTTTTTCTGAGTTTGAAACCGCTCGTTTAGGTCTTATTACAGTTTCAGAAGTGGGATATGCCCCGGAAAAGTCGCGATTAGTTTGGATATTGTGAGTTTTATGGATTAGTTGTGAACACGCGTTTCATGCACACTGATTTTTGTGGAATTTTGTGAAAATATGGCCCACGGCGAAGAAGATATGAATCCCATAGTTCGGTCCGATATCAACGTGAGTGATTTTGAATATTTTTATGAGGCGCAATCACGTCAACCACAAGTTAACCAGCAAAATATGGGTGAAGATGGAGATCAACAGCAACCAGGGCACAATTCAGCTCATTTTTCAGGTATTTCCAAAAATCATGCTCCTGAAACGACTGAATTTAATCGGGCTACAGCCCCGAATATTGATATTAATAGTCTAAGAGCCAGTGAACTTTTCGCGTAAAAAGTTGCCGATGGAGAATTTCTTGCTTAAACGATGTAGTATCATGCCCCGTGATTGAAAACCATAGTCTGGCAGCATGTAGTGGGGAAGTTTGGCGTAGGCATAATTATTTAGTCATTAAAAAAATCACCAAATTCGAAATACTTGCCGATGGTCAATTTTTGCAGCATATCATTCAAAAATATGCCATTAACAAGGATGTGATAATGCCAGACGGTTTTTACGGGTTTAAAGCCTTGCCAGACGCCCCTAGAGTGCAAAAAAAATTAAATTTTTGAAATACTTGCCGAAACCTTTTTTTTTATAAGAGAAAAAAATTGCGAATCAAACGCACCTAATGCCAGACGGTTTTAGCGGGGATTAATCCTGGCCGAAGTTAGGTATTTTACGCGTCCGTGATCGCGTACACACGCATACGCTGCGCCGGTGAGGAAATAGTACGCTGCGGCCACACGTTGTTTATCCGCGAGTAACCCCAAATAAAACGTCAAGTCCAAGGGTTACAAAACTGTTGTGAGGCAAAAGTAACAACATGATGGAAGACTCAAACTTACATTCTGATGATGAAAAGATTGATGATCAAAGTGTGATTCATCATGATGAGGCCCAATCTCAATCACCATCAAGTTTGTCCACTATTATAAGTCCGACTACGACTAGTAGTGTAAAGAGAAAACGGTTTCAAATTTCAAATAGAATCTTTTGCTGACAAAACTACTGAATCAGAAAATGTAATTATCACATATCACATATCACATAGAAGTAGCACTATGCTTAATGCTATGTAGGTATTCTTAAGTCTGGAGACGTAGAACAATTTACAATTTTGCATTATTTAATCAGTTATTTGGCCAATTATAAGGAACATTTTGACACTATTCGTTTTGTTGCAGGAGCAGCTAAACCAAGACCTTGCTAGGGCAATATTAATCAGTGGAAGCCCTCTTTTATTGGTGGAACACCCACTATGGATCAATTTTTTTAAGAAAATCAGGCCATCTTATACTTTGCCTTCCAGGAAGCGCGTATCAACCACACTTTTGGATACTGAATATAATGCAATGAAAGCTGAAATTAAAGGGCAGTTGGATAATTCGAAAAATGTATACCTACAATGTGATGGTTAGAGCAATTTGAGAAATTAATCAATAATTAATTTCGTGGTAACTATGCCTGAACCTAGATTTGTTGATTTTTTATTAACCGAAGAAAATAGACATGATGCTGTATATCTAGCCCAGCAAATGCAAATTATAATGGAAAAATACGCAGCAGAGGAATTTTTCGAGCATCTTACAGATTATTAAATGAAACATTTAATCATATTGTGCCTCTAGGATGTCTTGCTCATTTGCTCCACTTATTATGTAATGATATATTGAATTGTGACTCTGTCAAAACATTCATGAATCAAGTAACCGACGTAATAAAAACAATAAAAGGGAGTCATTTGCTTCAAGCAGTGTTTGTAAAAATCGGGAAAGATAAAAATATTAATATTGCTTTGAAGCTTGCTGGAGAGACCAGATGGGGAAGTCATTTATTCAGTTTACAAAGTATGTACTCGAATAAAGTAGTATTACAAACATTAGCAGTAACTGATGAAACAGAAGTGCCGCAAAAACTAAAAAATACAATACTTGACGATTCCATATTTTGGGTACGAGTAGAAAAAATGATTTTTATTTTAAAGCCAATAGTAGACTTGATAACAAAATTTGAATCAAATGAGCCCTTGATACATACAGTCTACTATGAAATTAATAATTTGGAAAAAAAGCTAATTGAATTTTTACCGCAATCTCCGTTACAAAAAGCTGAGGAAAAAATCATTTTATACAAAATTTCTGAGAGAAAGAATGTTGGGCTTGGAAAAATACATTTAGCAGCAGCTTTGCTAGATCCCTATTCACAAGGAAGTTTTCTTAGCCCAGAAGAAATTATTGATGCCCTAGATTTTATAAGTGACCTTGCTTCCAAACTAAAATTAGACATCGCTCAACTCAGAAATGAACTGGCAGATTATAAAGACAAGGTCTCTGGGGAAAACAATTTTTGTGGAGTGAAACAACTAAGGTAACTCCTTTAATATGGTGGAGAAATTTACGAGGAACCAATCTCTTAGCCGAAATGTCCATTCGAATTCTTTTTGCACCTGTTACCTCTGCTGCTACCGAAAAAACATTTAAGTCATTTAGTGGAATTCATTCTATAAAAAGAAATAGACTGACAACAGTACGGGCATCCAAGATAGCTTATTTATCACACAATTGGAAATTGAAGAATGAAAAAACAATTAAAAAGAACATTCAAAATCATCAATTTCTCTCGGAACAACCTGGACCTGGGCCTGGGACAAGTAATCGAACTGAAATGTCAATCTACTCTACTCCATCAACATCTAAATCTGGTCATCACCAGCCAAAGCAAAAAAGGAATCTTTCCTCCATCATTGAGATAGAGGAAAGTGATAGTAAGACTGAGACTGAAAGCGACATGAACGAAGAAGATAATTCCTATGATGAGGACTCTGAGTCTGGTGAATCTGACGATGGAAGCCATGATGATTCTTGAGTCTCAATTAGCTTTAAATTTACTGTCAAGTTTCAAGAGTTATATTTTTTTTTTAAGAGAAATTTAGTATTTTTATTTGTTTATTATAAATTATTATGAAAATATTATATTTTTTCATTTACCCATTTAACTACCCTATTTTGGTAAATACCCAAGGGTATTTACCCAAAAAATTAATATCAGG